AAAAGCCGGGTTGCCGGGTCACTTTCAAAAATTTTATGTTATGAGAACCGATTTATTAAGTTTGTATGGCCTTATTTAATTTTCAATAAAAATTTTATAATACTGGGTGATATCACCACGGGTCATACATACGATTGATCTTTTTTTTTAGCTCACAATTTATTTTTCTATTGTGCTGTTGTGTGAAATTTAGCGTTAGTTATAATCTAATTTTTAAAAATTTTAGCGTGATTAGATGCTATGCCACAAAGTTTCACGTGACAACTTTTAGTGGCGATACTGTCAATATAGAATTACTTTTTATTTACTTCATCTATATTTGAACGTACGTACGTACTCGGAGGTGGCAACACATATCATGGACAAGACATTCACGACATATTATAAAATCGTAATTATGCACTTTAATTAAGTTGTGATTCACTGATCACCGATGGTAGTGGTAATGGCCTACACAAATAAGAATAACGTAACTTTAAAGCAATGCATCATCCAGATATTCAACAAAAAAACATATCACTTACATCGTTGCAATAAGGACAATTCCCGAAGAATGTATTGAAACTTTGCTTTGTTGATGGAATAGACCGGAGCCACTATAAAAACCTGCTATAAGACAAAGATCATATATACTAGAGCCCTTTATATCCAGTAATTACCAGAATACTTACTTCATATAAACAAGAACGGTGAAAAGGTTGACCGCACTTCGCATTGTTACATGATTGATCAGGTAAAGAACCTTCATGACGATAAGAATAGCAAATGCCACATTCTATATTGATGTCCGAAGTCGAAATAGTTTGCACTGAAGGAAAAGTTATTTCTAGAATGTTTTCAAAGTTTTGCCGAATAGTTAAGTCGGAACTCCTATTCTCAATGAAGAAGCAATTATTAGAATAAAAGTTAAATTAATTTATCGTCGTAAGTATCAGATGTACAACCAATTATTCCAATTTTTTATCATCTTATCGCGTAATGGGGAGATCAAACTTTCCGTACCAAATAACCGATATTGACATTCCCCTTTGGGACAAGATACGTCCAATTCTATTTGTAAAGAGCAATGATTGCCCAAAGCGATTCTGCGCATCAAATCACTCCGTTTAGGTTTGTAAGGTTCCAAAATCCAAGTATGTTTGTCGATATCATCGAGCATTGACCAAACATCTTGAAACTTTTCTAATTCCTGAAAAAAAGATAAGCTTTAGGCATGACGGCTTAAATCACGAGTTTAGTAAGACTCACTTTAGAACAGAAAGACACAACATCCTTAAGACTTGTCATATGATTTAATGTCATTGGTAAAGGAGTTGGAAGCTCAGCGTGTACAATGAGAGTGGCTTTAGGATATGAAAATGGTAAAGACACAAAGATACTATGTTGACGACCGGATGAATCACTGACACAAAAAATAATTTTCGTTAGCTTTTGGTAAATTTACGAAAAATTTGCGTATCAAGTTAACGCACTTCAATTTCAATGATAAATTTCTTAGAGATGGATTAAATGCTTCTAATTTGTCCCATCCTATCGAATTAAGCTCATTTATCAAAGTAGAATAATAATTTTCACCCGGTGAGGGATCGGCCTTCTCTTTGGTCATTAAAAGTTCCTGTTTTTTTTTTTATTGGACAGAGTTTAGCAGCGTGAAACTTTCAGTAATAAGAGGATTAACGAAAAGCCAAAGTACTCAGCAAGTAAATCTTTGAGATCGACGAAAAACTCTGAAAAGTTTGCACACTGCTCGAGACGCTGTTAATTAAGACATTGAATTTTAAAGATTCACTAACAGAAATAATTTGCTTAAATTTAACGAGCAAATTTAGATTATAGAAAGGAAACATACTTGCTGCAAAGCCTTTTCATGACCAAATATAAGCCTCTTTAGCTCAGGACTACCGTAAAGTTTCGCATTTTTTAGACAAGCACTATTATTTTCGAGTTTGATTTGAAATGCTAGTTCTTGTCCCTATAAAAACAATACAATTTCGTCAGCGAATTCTCTGAATGATTTAGACATAAAACAAAAATGTAACCTTAACGGTAATAAAGCCACAATAAGATAGTTCATCCACATCGGAAGAAACAAGAAGCGGAAAATTCTTAGTTTCCATTACGTATAACGCGTAATCTTTGATGTTCATTTTATTGAGTGAAACTCGCGTTTTTTAGGTGACCTTTTTGATGATCCACAATTCATACGGGGGAATCCCGGTCGGCCAATCATTGACAGAGCATATCATAGTCCATTGCAAACCCTGGTTCTGGTACCAAGACGACACCTTTTTAAATTATGTAGAAAATTTTAATTTATGTACGAATTCTTATTAAGAATTAAATTTAAATAAGATGTTTAAAAAATTATATATAATTCTAATATAAATCTAATACATATAGACATAAAAGAATTTTTATTCCTTTATGCCCTATAGTTCCGAAAATAAGCACCACCCCCTCTACCCTGTTTTTTAAATTTCAGATTAAAATCAAATTACTTCCGCTAATCTGAGACTCAAAAAATTGGGGTGGTGCTTATTTTCGGAACTATACGGTAATTGGTATATGCAGGACCCAGTTATACATACATGCATATAACGCAAAACAATGATTAATTTCTCTGTAACATCTTAAATTATGGCCGATGAATTTAATTCTAAAAGAAATCATGAGTATGGATTATGTGCGAATTGCAGTCGATATAACACATCACCAGCTTGGTGCCAAACATGCGACCCTCATACGATAGTACAAGGATGGACAAGTGGAAATAAGGAAGTCGATGATTGTAT